CGAATTTCAAAAAGGTTACAAATTTACAGGTTATCTGACTGATTTACATGTACGGAAATCCTTCTATTTTTGCCCGTTTCATTTTGTAAAATGAAATATTACGTCACAAATGATTTATTTCGGAGAATTTCAACTATTTATAAAAAAAAAACAGAACTGCAGTTCCTTAATGCACTTTCCAATCGAGTGACTTTTGTCGTTCATCGGCCATTTCCTTATTGCTGCTCTTTGACGGTTTAAGGTACGAAACATACACACCCGAACAAAGAAAAATGCAAACACCATGTTAACTTTACACTGTAATATCACGCACATTTTCCCAATCTTTTTTGCACCACACGCTATTTCCATTCGCGGTCGATGTCACACAGTACGCTCAGTCCACACATTTCGCCCATTTCAAACAGGAAGCGCAATCCACCCGCACCAAAAAAAAGCCTTTCTCGCGCGAGATGTGCACACTCCGCACAAAATGCTCAATTTGACGCACTAAAAGTCCTCGAATTGTAAGTCGGACGACCGAACGCCAGCCGACAGGACGCTGCCGATCGCACTGAATGCCACGCAAGCATGGTTCTTATGGCCCGCTGACATATGGCGCTCAGTTTAAAAAATAATTTCACGCTCGTTGACTTCGGCTTGTTGATCCTCGTCGGCGGCACAGGTGATTAGCCCGCACGATCCGGCGCCGCCATCATGCTGCGCTGCTCCCCGATTCGGCATTAAAGGGGGGAAAGGAGAAAAAAATGATGACAGGAGGTAATAAAATATATGAATCAGATCATGAACTGAAAACATGATGCAGCTTAATTATAATGATAATATTGACAAGATTGATGATGATGATGATGATATAATGGTAATGATAACGTAATAAAATGAACAAGGCTAAAAAAAAAAAAAACGCGCGCTGCGACAAATGGGGGCCCGGCGTAAGAAAGGACTCGCAGGATATCTATCACTCGCGGAAATCTATTACCCAGGGATGTCTACTGTCCCGAAACATCTACCACTCCAGGACATTCATTGCTCTACCCAAGGAGAATATGACAAGCCCAAGATCACGCGCCATCTGTTCGGCCTGACAGATGGACTGCGAAGAGCCTCTCGAATCCGACCGGGCGACAGCCGCCTTTTCTTCTCCTTCGTCTTTTACGGCCCACAGGCAGGGAGACAAACGAGACCCGTGGCAGCGGCGAAGGATTATGGTGCTGCATGGAGGCGGGCACAGAGATAGAAAGAGATGAGATCAATCAAGGATGAGGTGAAAAAATAAACATATGAAAAAAAAGAAACGGAAAAAATTGTGAAACAAAAAAGGAAGCAAATGAATGTAAGAAATAAAACACGAACGAAAGAAATGAGAGAAAAAAAAGAGAATCAGTCACGAAAGAAAATAGAATGTGAGCAGTTAAAGCAAAAGAAGAAATTTAAAAAATGAAAACGTAAAAAATGGGAGAAACAAGAACAAAACAATTAGAACGATGTGAAAATGAGGATGAAAAAATGAGAGAAATCAAAAGCAAATAAAAAGTGAAGATCATCCCCCATGAATAACATGAGGGAAGAAGAGAGAGCGAGGAAGGCGCGAGCTCACGGCCATTCGGTCTCGATGAACTGGCTCTCGGCTCCTTCGGGCGGGATTTATTAGTCGTTATTGTGTGATTACGTCGCCGCCACCACGATCCTGCGCCCCTCGCCGCTCTCGGCCTCCTTTTGTCCACGGATGGGGACAGAGAGAGAGTGAGTGAGTGAGTGAATGAGTGAGTGAGTGAGTGAGAGAGAGAGAGAGAGAGAGAGAAAGAGAGAGAGGGGGGGGGGAGGGAGAAAGGAGAGATCCTTATCAGGATGATCATAACAAAATCAACTAAGACGACGACGACGATCAAAATCGCTCACAACATCAATGGCAGCGAAAGAAATGCCGCAAGATGCCAGACAGGAAGGAAAGCCCATCCCCTAGCCGCGGCGAGAGCCCCCGCCTCGGCCCCAATAACAATAAACACCAATAAATCCCAAATCCAGCCCAATCCCTTCCGAAGCCTCCCCACCTCGCGGCCCGTCAATTCCTCCCCGACGGTCCACCGGAGACTCCCACCCCGCCCTCCCTCCTCCCCGACGCCTCGTTAGTCCTCTTTTTACCTGCAGGATCGGCGCGTCATCGCCCTCTCCAGGACGGCGCTGGGTGGCGCTGCAGAAGCCGACGGAAATTAATCACGATGACGCTGATCATTTTGCGCAGTGAGAAACGAGGCCATAACTAGGTTGTGATGATAATGATGATGATGAGGGGCTTTGATGATGATGGTGGTAGTAGGGATGATGATGATGATGATGATGATGATGATGATGATGATGAAGATGAAGATGAAGATGAAGATGAAGATGAAGATGAAGATGAAGATGAAGATGAAGATGAAGATGAAGATGAAGATGAAGATGAAGATGATGAGATGAAGATGAAGATGAAGATGAAGATGAAGATGAAGATGAAGATGAAGATGATGATTGATGATGATGATGGTAGCGATGGCGAAGGTGAGGGGCTTCGGTAATGATGTTGGCGATTATGCTGGCGATGACAATGATGATGGTGGGTAGGGGGTGGCTTCGATGGTGATGATGATAATGAAGTTGATAGTGGGTGCGGGCGGCTCAGATGATGGTGGGATGGATGGCGGTGATTATGATAATGCTGCTGCTGATGATGATGATTATGATGTGATAATGAAGTGATGATGATGAGGAAGAGGAGGATTGATTATGATAAATATGAAAATGATGATGAAGATAAGCTGGTTTCTTATTTACTCTTTTTGGTTATGTGGCGTTCTTGGTCTCTTGCTCGGGTTTCCTATAGTCCTGTTTTGGATTCTTGTTCTCTAGCTTTGTTTCTTTGCTTTCCATTCTCTCATTTTGTTTTCCTCGTCTCTTGCTTTGTTTATCGCGCTACTGGAGCTTGGGCTTTCTCGCTTCGGTTGCTTGGTTCTCTTGGTCTCCATTCTAAGCAGCTTTTGGTTTCGCGTGTTCTTGTTCTGCGAACCCACATCAAAACCAACTGTCAGAAGACGAGCAGTCCCACCAAAACCCACGGCAGAATGATTGTTATTTTCGGGCCCACATTTTCCCCTATAGCTTGCCCGGTGGGAAGTTGTTCGTTTATGTTTGCCATAATCATCATCTGCTATTTGTGCCGAAAAAATGCTTCAGTTGCTTTTATGTTCTGTATTTTCCATCCCTTCTATTCAGCAGCAGTTCTTCCTTGCGTGTAAATTACCAAACACACCTTCCCCACCCACCCCCACCCCCAAGCAATGGCATGTGCCTTGTTTTCTGCGTCCACTTCATCCAAGTTTATGTTCCGTAGCCGATGCAATTTAAACGCGTTCTAATTTGGGGAGACGGAGCGACCGCTGAGCATATAAGAAAAAACAGGAGACTAATTCCTACATTTAATTTGCTTAATGGGGGTTAATTCGCCGTCCTTCCATCGGAGTTCCTCTTGTTTTGCTAAGCAGAGTGAAGGAATGCAGGCCGTGCTTTGTGCTCTACCCTGAAACGCATTTGCCGAAGTATGGCTGCTGAAAAGATCTATTAGGCGTTTAAATCACTTCAGTTCACATTTGAAGATTCCATGAAAGCGGCGCTTACTTGTTGGCGAAAACGTTTCTTGCAAGGCGTCTGTCTAACTCAAATCCAAGAACATTTGTAAATTTGCTTTCGGAAACTGGCACTCGCTTCAAATATTTGCTTTCCTGTAAGCTAACGAAAGGCCCTCCTTGTTTACACGCCCCCACTGCCGCATGACCAGCCCAAACACGCTTTGAATGAAAAAAAAAAAGAAAAAAAAATCATTCTGAAAGAAAAAAATCCATACTAATTACATTAATTCCATTCGCGTGGCCGTTTAGGTTGTGGTTTGTGAATCATCGCCGCCTGAGTGCGGCCGTTACGTGTGCATGCTGTCGCCGCGCGATTGTGTGCCTCGGGAGGGAGGGAATGCCGGAGAGGGGGGCGTAATTGCCCCTGGAAGGAAAGGCCCGTCCCTCGGCCTCGTATGGGATGACTGCCACCCACGCTCCCTCTCTTTCTCTCTCTCTCTCTCTCTCTCTCTCTCTCTCTCTCTCTCTCTCTCTCTCTCTCTCTCTCTCTCTCTCTCTCTCCCTCTCCTCACTTCCTCTCTCTCACTTTCCTCTCTCTCACTTTCCTTTCTTCACTCATCCCCTTTCCTTCTCTCTTAGTCCACAATTCCCTCTCTTTTTACTCTCCCCTTCACTCCCCATCTTTCCTGAAAACTCGCACATTCTTTTTTCCTCTCTCCCTCCAGCCGACAGCTAAATTCGCAAACCGAGCTCAGTGACATGACAGCGGCATGACAAGTTCAGATCCGAAAAAATCGAAGAGCGGGGAAGGGGCGGTGTGATGGATACCAGTCCTCATCGGTCCCTCTGATACTCTCCTGGCCTGTATTCCCTCCCTTTTCACCCTCCCCCCTTCCCGCTCAGACCTCCACTTAACCTTACCCCTTGTCACTAGCTCCTCCCCATGCCTATTCCCTTTTCCTCTCTTGCCTTGCCCCTCCCCTAGTCATTCCTTCTCCTCCTTGACCCCGCCCCTCTCTCGACGTGTAAACAGCGTGCCAGTCATAGTCACGTACATCTTTCGGTCCATATAAACAGTTCTGTAACGCAAGAACACAGAGATAACATAATGTGAACGTCGGTAGAGAGGGAGGGAGACTGAGATAGAGGAAGAGAGACTGAGAGAGAGGGAGAGAGACTGAGAGAGAGGGAGAGAGAGAGAGAGGGAGAGACTGAGAGAGAGGGAGAGAGACTGAGAGAGAGGGAGAGAGACTGAGAGAGAGGGAGAGAGAGAGAGAGAGAGAGAGAGAGAGAGAGAGAGAGAGAGAGAGAGAGAGAGAGAGAGAGAGAGAGAGAGATTGCAGTTTACAACCTTTATGATTAGAGATAAAGAAAAACGCCTATGGTTTCCTTTTCTTTCCACTAATATTGCCTCATTCTTCCTTCCAGAATCGCCGGGTCGAGCCTTCAGGTCACCCTCTGTCCCTCGAGGATGAGCCAAGGATCTCCACGCCAGCGGGAGCAGAGCGTCCAAATACGGCATGCGCACGCACTATACAAATAACTCTTGCATAAGAAAAAAATAAGACATAAGTTAAAGACAAATATAAAAGAAAAATCTATAGAAATAGCATAATGAAAGGAGAAAATGTTGCAGAATACAAAAGACAAAAGAAATAGTGAAAAGGGTTATGCAAGCACCGACTTGCGCGTAGCGGACTTCCTGCAGCACAGGCGATGCCAGGCGGGCGTCGCGCGCCACGATGGAGCGGCGAGAGAGCAGCGCCACGTCGAGTTCGGTTCCCGCCCCCGCCCATGCACGAGCCGAGTGTCAGCGCTCTAAAAGACGTCTAATACTGTGAAAGGGAAAAAAAGTGAATCTGACCCAACCGTTTCTGCAAACTATCCATTCTATCGACGTCGTCTGACTGTGCCTTGTGAACCGTGAGGTCAAAGGGCAAGGCCTTGGAGCGAATTGTTACGCCTTCCACGCAGAGGTTAGGTACCAGAACGCCCGAACGCCCGCCCGCACGAGTGCGCCGGAGCCGTAGATATGCGCCTGGACCGCAGAAGCCGCGGGTTCCCGAAGAGGTAGTGCGCGGCGATGGTGCTCGGGGCGTGAGCGAGGGCGGAGGCAAGAAGTGCGCCGCCGCCCGTGACAGGTGGCGCTCGCCGAGTGACGATCGCTCGCTCGCTCGCCGCTGCCAAATATACCCGTGGCACCAGCGGTGGCACCGTGCGACGAGGCGCCCAGGGAGACAGGAGGAAGGGAGGGAGGTGGCGCCAGCGCCTCCCCTGAGCCAGCAGTGCCGCGGCAGTTAGGCTGGCACCGTCTCAGGTGCGGCACCCAACGCGACTCGGGCATCGTGAGGCGTAGGCAAGAACTGGTGCCCGAACTCAGGCCGGGACGGGCGGGACGCTGACGCCGCCCGCCGCCGCTGCCGCCTCCGCCGCTTCACCTCCTGCAGGAGGGGCCGCTCCTGGCCTCGCATGGCCGCGGTGATGTTCCTGCGCAAGGCAATGCGTTACTACCGATTGTGGATTTACACGTGCAATGCCGTCCTGCTCGTGTCAGTGTTCGTGTTCATGGGCGTGGCGGGGGGCGTGGCCTCGCACCCGTACCTGTCGCTGGTGCCGGCGCCGCCCGCCTACCACCCGACGCTGCTCTACGGCTACCTGGCGCTGCTGCTGCAGGCTGGCGTGCTGCAGGCGCTGGGCTGCTTAGGGGCGCTCCGCCTCTCGCAGCGGCTGCTCAACATCTACTGGCTCCTGCTGCTGTTCCTGCTGCTGGGCGACGTCGTGGTGGGCCTCGTGTGGCTGTACCGCTTCTCGCATCTAACTGACGGCCTCACGCCGCACGTACGCGCCACGCTGCTCGACCGCTACGGCCGCGACCCCGACGTCACGGAGGCGTGGGACACGCTGCAGCGCGCCGCCAAGTGCTGCGGCGTGGCGTCGCCGCGCGACTACAACACCACGTGGTGGGACGCGGGGCAGCGGTTCTCCGTACTGCGGCTGCCGGCGTCGTGCTGCCAGCGGAACGACAGCGACGCGGCGGAGCCCGGCGTGCGCCCGCTGTCTGGCATCAAGGCCGACCAAAAGGTGCGCCACGTGAAGGCGTACCCTGAGACCGACGCGAAGGGCCGCCTGCGCGCCGACTCGTATGGGGGCGGCGGCGGGCGCGGGCGGGACCGCAACCTGACGTGCGCCAACGGCGACGACAAGGAGTACTACACGCGCGGCTGCGTCGTGCACCTGGAGAAGTGGCTGCTGACGTCGGCCGAGACGCTCATGATCCTGGGCTTCTGCGTGATCGCCTTCATCAAGCTGTGCTTCGTGGGCATCCTGCGCTTCGAGATCCAGGAGATGATCCAGAAGATCAAGGTGCTGCAGGGCGAGACGCAGTGCACGCCCAACCCCGAGCTGGCCGCCGCCCTCGGCCTCGTGTCGCCCGACAAGGCGGCCGAGTGCGGTCTGCTCAGCTCGGGCGGCGGCGCGGGCGGCGGCGGCGATGGTGCAGGTGGCGGTGAAGGTGAGGGCGGCGGCGGCGGGGACGCGCACGCCGACGCAGAGTCGGTGGCCGACACGCCGTTAACGCAGCCGCGCCTCAACCACCTGTCCGGCCCGACGGACGGCGCCGAGTCCGACACCAACTCGCACTGCGCCCTCATCACGGACACGCCCGTGCGCCGGCCGCAGCCCGACAAGCGCAAGCCCAACGGCAACAACAACGACGTGACGGAGCTCCGTGAGCTGCGCCACGTGCGCCAGACGCAGATATGATGACCGCCGCCGCCGCCGCCGCCCCGCAGCCTGGCTGTCCACGCGGAGCTCCCCGCCCTCGCCCCAGGCCCCTTCGGCCCCTTCGCGCCCGCCGCCCTCGCCGCGCCGGGCCTCGCCACGCCCCACCGCCCGCACC